CTCGGCAGCATGAAAATTTTCCAAAAAAAACCGTTTAAAAAAATGTCCATACAAAAGTCACGTTTTTTTGTGATTTTGTCGTGTTTGAGCAATTTGTGCTCCGAACCTATGAGACCAAAGTCTACAAAAGTTATATTTTGTGGGAGCACAAATTTAGCACTAAATCCCTGTAAAAAAAATTCCCCAAAAAAATCCCGCCTTAAGAAATTCCCCATACAAAATTTTTTCGGTGTTTGGGCAATTTGTGCTCGGTTATTTGAGAAGCACAAATCCAAAGAATAGCATTTTTGAAGAGCACAAATTTAGCACTAAATTTTGATCTATAAATTGTCGTGGTACAAAATAAAGGGGCAACGACACGCACCTCAAATTATTAGTATATTTGATTGTTTCTAAAAAAACTCAAATGTGTCTACTAAAAAACAGTTGTGGTTTTACTAAAGTCCATGAAATAAGTTTGTGAATTTTTTTATACATATATATAGTACAAATTATGTAGATTCTGAATATGTAATCAAAGTTCTAAAAAGTGTACTAAAAAATATTTTTTTTGCTTTTTAGTACATTTTCAAAAAAAATTTAGTACATTTGGGAAGTACAAATTGAGTACATTTCGGTATATTTCGGTATATTTTGGTATATTTCGTTTTTGATTCTAAAAACTAAAATTTCTGTACTAAAAAAACACTTGTAATTTTAGTACAGTCGATGAAATAATTTCAAGATTATTTTTATACATGTAGATAGTACAAATTATGCAGATTCTGAATATGTAATCAAAGTTCTAAAAATTGTACTAAAAAATATTTTTTTTGCTTTTTAGTACATTTTTTAGTACATTTTCAAAAAAAATTCAGTACATTTGGAAAGTACAAATTGAGTACAAATTATTGGTATATTTGGTTTTTCGATCCGATGTGTACTAAAAAAAAGTTGTACTAAAACATACTTTCAGTTTAGTACAAATTCTAAAAATGTTAGTACAAATTAGTACAAATTGAGTACAAATTATATATGGGTGTAATGACCCCCTAGCTCAAAATCACCCGTGAGTTGTCACAGAGCCGTGTATTTGTGGAGGTAAAATGAAATGTTTTATTGGTTAGAGTTTTTAAAGATTCAATTTACTAACAATATTTTTTTTATTCGCAGATTTTTTCTACTGAAGGTGCAACCAACACCAGATATCAGAAATTCCCAACCAGATAACATTAACAGGCGAACAATATGTATTGTCATCCGTCATTCTATACACACCGCCGTTTCAAGAGGAGGACGCTGGCCACTATGTTGCAGCAGTTCGTCTGAATGGATGGGAGGTATTCGACGATCTACGTACTAAATCTTATAACATATCACCTTCTGATTTTGTCGTCGTACATTCGCTTTTTTACGTAAAATTTTAATATGTCGTTATGAATTCATTACATAGCTGGGCAGACAGGGGGGGGGGGGTATTACCCCCTCCTGAGGCATCAAATTTTAGCGTTACCCCTTTACAAAATCAACAAATTTTTGCGTTACCCCTTTACAAAATTCATGATTTTGGATAGAATTTTTCTCATTTTGCTAGGGTTTTTGGATCATAGATGAAATTTTCCTATTTTGCTAGGAGTTTTTGAGAAAATTACCCCCCCAATCCCCCCCTGAATTTTTCAGTCTGCCCAGCTATGATTCATTACCACATAAAAAAATAAATGGAATTTAAATAATTTGAATTTGATCAATAAAAAGAGGCATTTGAAAATTCAATTGATATTTCTTTTCATTATTCTGATATGGTGATTATTAAAATAAATGAAAGCGAAATTGAAAATGTGTCATTCCATTGACTGACATATACGAAAGAAATCATGATTTACACCTCCCATAAAAATGTTCCATACAAAAAACCTAGGGGGTTCCGACTTATACGAATGTTCCATATGCGAGCGAGTTTTTCCTATATATTTTGCAAATGGAAACGAATGGTCGCAAATGTTTCATACAAATTTTGCGAATGGTGGCGGATGTTTCATATTACAAATTTGCGGACGGTGTCGAATGTTTCATACACATTTTGCCTAGCATTTTGCGGATGGTGCATATTATAGTCGCAGACGAGCATAATACATTGCACACACTTTTACACACACACGTACTGCGGTGTGTCATTTTACGCTCCATTCTATAGCATCCGTACAGTGCAATGTATCCGCTCGTTTGCACCTATATTCATCTCTTCTCTTTTCAAATAGATCATACAATATGTCAATACAGGTGTTTGAGTAAGATCAGAAGACACAATTTCCTCTTTCTAAAAACTTCTTTTTCTAGTTTCAGAAGAATCAATGCATTTGACCGTAAATTTAATGATCTCTATGTTTGCTTGATTCCTCTTTCTCAAACCCTCTCTCTGTTTGCTATAACATACAATACAGTTTTATTTGTTTTCTATGTTTTCAGTGTTAAAGCGCCGAAGTAATTCCTCTTTCTCAAACCCCCTCTCTGTTCGCTATAAGATCCGATACAGTTTTATTTGTCTTCTACGTTTTCAGTTTTAATCGCCGAAATAATTCCTCTTTCTCAAACCCTCTCTCTGTTTGCCCATAAGAGTCAATACAATTTTTCGTAGCTGTAATATTGAGCCAATTTGAACGACTCATATTACAATATGAAAAGTCATATTTTTACATTCAAAAAGTCAAAGTGACAGATTAGGTGTCAGAGATTCAAGCTGAATTATTTAGCTGATATTTTTTTGGTAATATTGAGTGAAATTTTTCTAATATACTCGTAATATAATCACTGTAAACGGTGCCTTGTGAAAGGTTTTTACTTTCATTGACGTAACTTTCAATTTCTTTTATATTATCTGAATTTATTTCTAAAATCTCACTTTTCGAATCGAATACGGCTTCTAAAATAATATTCAACAAATAATCTTGTATTTTTTTCTTCAACTGTTTTTCAAATTTAGTTGAGAACAATGACATTGTGTTTGAAACTGCCACGACAAACTGAACACAGCAATGTGTATGTTATGTTGTATACGACCGAGTATCACTTACAGTCGGCTTTCAACGCGACTCGATTTAAGAAGCGCCATCTCTTTCACGCCAGGTTCTCATATTTTTTTTTCTTGCAAATATTTTTTTCTTGCAAAATTGTATAAATTGAATAAGTTTTGCATATGATAATATGATATGTAGCTTTGCCTTGTAGGCTTTGCCTAGACCATGTAGAGATGGTTACGTGGAGAAAATATGTATTTGTCAAACATTGATATCTGTCAAAAGAAACAACGTAAACAACACGAAGTGCAGCTTTTCTGGTGAATCATATAATATAAAATATTTGTGTGTTTTTTTCAATTTTTTTTATTTATTATAAATTCTATTAATTATTTTCGTTATTATTATTGCAAAACTTATTCAATTTTATTTGCAAGAAAAAAATATATTAGAACCTGGCGTGAAAGAGATGGCGCTTCTTAAATCGAGTCGCGTTCAAATACATTGTCAATATACAACGCAAGTGATACTCGTATACGACAGTTTGTCGCATCTAGCAAGACGTATGCGGCATTCGCGAATGGTTGCGAATGAAATGTACGAATTTTCATAGATGTTGATGCGGATGAATATACTTTACTTCGTATATTTCATGTATGAATATAGTAAAATGCCTCTAGCAAAAAACACGTTTTTCGTGATTTTTTCGTGTTTGAGCAATTTGTGCTCCGAATCTATTGGACGAAAGTGCACAAAAGTAATATTTTTTGGGAGCACCAATTTAGCACTAAATCGCTGTGAAAACATTTCCCAAAAAAAAATCCCGTTTTAAAAAAATTCCCATACAAAAAACACGTTTCTCGTGATTTTTTCGTGTTGAACCATTTGTGCTCGGTGATTTGTGGAGCACAAATTCCAAAAGTGGTATTTTTTGGGAGCACAAATTTAGCAATAAATCGCTGTGAAAAAATTTCCAAAAAAAAATCCCGTTTACAAAAAATTCCCATACAAAAAACACGTTTTTCGTGATTTTTTCGTGTTTGGGCAATTTGTGCTCGGTTATTTGAGCAGCACAAACTCAAAGAATAGCATTTTTGAAGAGCACAAATTTAGCACTAAATTTTGACATATAAATTGTCTTGGTACAAAATAAGGGGGGGCCAACGACACGCACCTTTTCAACTTTTAATTTTGGAAAGAGCAGTTAAATCTAGAATTTTTGGTTTTTGGAGCGTAAATTGACACAATAATTTAAATAAATAAAAAACAGTTTTTTAAAAGAGTTTTACACCTTTTTGTCAATTTTAATGAGTATATCTTAAAGCGATACAATTGTTTCGATAGCACAAGCTATCATCTTCAGTCGCAGAGTCAAGTACAACTAAATGCAAGAAACAGAAAACATCATAGAAACGAAAAACACCGTCTCAGCGGGAAGAAGAGAATGGAGAAATAGATAATAAATTACAATAACAAATTATGGAAGAGACAGTGTATAGCACGACAAGTGATTGCGACAATTTCTTTTGTCAATTTTTATATGTATGAAAAAGAGAAGAGAAATGTTGACCCAAATCTCTATTTACATTGTTTTTATTTTGAAAAATATGAAAGGATTCGAGAATATTTAGTCGATTAAGATTTGATTCAATTTCTATCAATTTAAAATTGTCTTCGTTAATTTTATGTTTTTGGGAAATGATGTGTTCAGCAAGACCGCTTTTAAAGGCCTCACAATTTTTTATGTCATTTAAATGCTCTTTCATTCGCACCTTAAGTGAACGACGTGTCTGTCCAATGTAAACGGCGCCGCAAATCGAACAAGTTGCTTTGTATATTCCAGGCTTTTCGATGTATTGGTGCTTGTCTTTCGTGGTGTTTAGCAGCGATTTGAGTTTTGTTTTGCTTTTTGGTGCAAGTGTAATGTTCCCTTTAATAAGTGATTTTGAAATAGCATTGAATGTATTGGCGTCATAAATCATACCACACCAATTGGAATTAGTTTTATCACTCAACACCGAGCACTCTCTTCGTGTCTTTTTCCAAGAATGTTTTTTTGATGAGACTATTTATTGTTTCAATAGCAACACCGTTGATATCAGCAATTTGGATGATTTTTTGCTTCTCAATATTGAATTTTTTTGATGAAAGTGGTACATTTATCAAACGATGGATCATAGAGTTGAATGCAGCTAATTTATGCGATTGATGTTGGTTTGATTCGATGGGAATGTACCGATCAGTAGATGTTTTTTTCCGATAAATATCAAATTCAATATGACCATCCTTATTTCGTTGGATTAATAAGTCTAAAAACGGCAATTGATTATTCTGTTCGACTTCACACGTAAACTGAATTTCTGGGCAAATCGAATTGAAAAGTTCAAGAGAGTCATTGATATTATTCACGGCTACAATTGCAATGCAATCATCGACATATCGGTGATAAAACCTCGGGAAGAGTGAATGATTTTTTAAACGCTCTTCGACCTGAACCATGAATAAGTTACAAAGGAATGGACTTAAACTTAGGCCCATTGCTAAACCGTCTTTTTGTTTATAATAAACCTCTCTGAACTGGAAATATGATTGATTTATGCATACTTCAGTTAATTCGTATAATGCATTGCGTTCCATATGATTCAATTGTTGTTTATCTAACCACTCACGTAGCGCAGCAAGAGCTCCAGCCTTCGGTACGTTCGAAAAATAAGATTTGATGTCGAATGATACGATGCGTTCGTTTTCAGTCAACTCTATGTGTTTGATTTTTTCAATTAATTCAAAAGAATTTTTAACCGAAAAATTGTCATGGCTTCTCATTTGTTTAAAACGTTGGCATAGCCAAGCAGCAATGTTTGCACACGGAGAATCGTAATTTGCTACTATAGGGCGATATTGATTTCCTGGTTTGTGTAATTTCGGCAACCCATAAATGCACGGAACGCGTACGTTTGATTTTCGCATGCGTTTTGCCCAATAATGACCAAATAATTCACTATGCTTTGCTACTGCTGCCTTTACCTCGTTGTTCATCTTATTTAACGGGTTTCTCACACGTTGGTAGTTTCCTTCATCTATCAACTTTTTCATGCCGGAATCATAGTCACATTTATTTAACACCACAACGCAATTGCCCTTGTCCGCCTTAGTAATGAAAATATCTTTACTGTTTAACGAACGAACCGCATCATACATTTTATTGGTGCTGACGCTTGTATCAAGTTTAACATTTGATAGAATTTGTTGAACATCATTCCGAATACCATCTGATTTATCTGCTTCGATTTTATTAATAGCAATTTCAGCATCAACAATAAGATCTTTGAGTGGCAATGATTTGTGCGGCAAAGCAAAATTTAGCCCGTTGTTAAGAAGGTTTATTTCATTCTGATTCAATGGGACATCAGACTTATTAACCAGAAAATCCTGTATAAATTTACTTTTTGGTTTTTTATGTGTAATTGAATTTTTGATTAACTGGTTCAATTTTTGGCGTTTCTTCATCATTAAACAATCGTACATTTTTTCAGTGATTGAAGACATAATTTTGAAAAATTCGTCAGCGATAATCGGAGAATGATTGCATACAGTTAAATCTAAATGAGGACGCATGTGAGGAAGTTTTAGATCTGTTATGGTTTTCTTTAATTGCACCGCTTGGTAAAAATGCAAGTTTAAATGACATCGGCGAAAGCACAAACTCCAATGAAACACAAAAATCCGATGAATCGATAAGCTCAGGTAGAGAAAAGATAGAGAAAATGGTGCATTCCGCGGAATCATGCATTCAGGTACCGTCAAAAGAAGAAGCCTAGGGGCTTAATTCAAAATTTTCAACAACTGAATTCTATAATAATA